GCGGAGGGGGGGGGGGGGGGGGGGGCACAGAGCATGCTGAGATGGCTGGTACCCCAAATCTGCAGCCAGGGCTCCCCCCAAATGTGCCATTTAGCCCCTGCTCTCAACTTTTCAAGTGACATGCCTTGCCACTTTCATCCTCTCTTTGATCTACCCACATTTATTTTAAAACTTCCCCTTAACTGTGTGTGTCCCCCAAAATGTATTTTCGGGCAATTTTTCATAGGACAGTTTAACCCCTCTGCTGCTGTGTCAGGGCTATTGTTCAACTATTTGGGCACATTTTAGGAGGCTTGGTACCCCAAATCCACACTAGGGCTCACTAATGTGCCAGTTAACCCCTCTAGGGATCTGCCTTGCCATTTCTTCCCATTGCCTGAACTACCCCCAGTTTTTAGAATTTCCCTTAAATTACATGAGTCCCCTAAAATATATATTTTTGGCACCTGTACATGCAATGCAGGTTAACCCATGTGTTGCCCTGGTCAGGGCTGGTTTTCAGTTTTTGGTACCCCCCATTTGCAGTCATTACTCCTCAAAGTGCTCCCTAACACGTCAACTTTTCAACTTTCTTTAAATTCCATGTGTCCCCAAAAACCTACTTTTGGACACCTGTACATGCAATGCAGGTTAACCCGCGTGGTGTCCAAATCAGGCAATTTTTTTTTGCAACTCTTGGCACCCCAAATTTGCAACCATGGCTACTCAGCTATCACTTAAAATTTTCGTCTTCCCTTAAATTCCGTGCATCCCCTAAAACTTATTTTGGAGACCTGTGCATGCAATGCAGGTTGCATATGGTGTCCAGGTCAGGGCTATTTTTTGCAACTCTTGGCACCCCAAATTTGCAGCTATTGCTCCTGCAGAGTGCCCCTCCACTTCAACTTTTCAACTTCCCTTAAATTCCAAGTGTCCCCTAAAATATATTTCTGCCCACATGTACATACGGTGCAGGATAACCCTAGTGGTGTCCAGGTCAGGGCTAGTTTTCAACACTTGGTACCCCAAATTTGCAGCCATGGCTCCTTAAAATTCCCCCCTCCACTTCAACTTTTCAAACAGCTCCGGA